GTGTAGTTCAGTGGGAGAATGTGTAACCAAAGATCAAGAAATGTCTGGTTCCAAACCTAGGCGTGCCTTAAGATATATAATTAATTCAGGTTCTTGTGGTGGAATGGTAGAGTTGCTATCTTTGGACTAGGGAGCCCAGGTTCAACTTCTATTTGTCCCAGAAGTGTGTCTTAACATGTCCAAACAGTGATTAAAGGTATTTATCCATCCTTTGGTAGGTAGGAGGGTCAGAAATGCATCCAGTACTCTAGTTGCTATCTAATCAAAGCTCCATTCAAGTGTCATAAGACTTCTTCACACTCACATCCGAAAACCTTTTGCTGTAATTTCAATCTCACACCTTTACATCACCAGGTCTTTTTGTAATTGTGGTAATCAGTCTATAATTTTCCACCCATTAAAATAAATGTTGAGAAACTGTAAGCAGAGAAACACAGAACCAGCCAAACGTCTTTCAGATTTTTATTTTCTACTGCTACCTTAAACATATGTGGATGAAAACATGACCCAATAGAATCATGCTCATAGTGGCAACACCCATTACACCAAACCGCCTTTCCTTAACAGACTACACTTTTTAACAAGTTTCAATATCTCCTTTGTTCACTAATGCAGACTGGACAACCAATGCATTCCACAGTCTACTATACCACCACAAATATTTATTCTATAATAAAGGTTCTGTAGCAACCAAAAAACTAAAAGAAAACTTGAATATTGTTTTCTTTCTCAAATATGAAAAAGTAAACACAGCAGAATCCTATTGGACATAGTAAGTCATGCCAGATAAAAACAGCTTGAATAAAATCAGACTTGACAGTTTGAAAAACCTGCTGTTCGAAGGAAAACAAATAACTCAGACTGCAATTTGAAATTATACTTACAAAATGGGAATCCACTATTGTGCTGCAGATCTCTAACTCTCCTTACTTAGGCTATCAATTAAAATCCATTCATTTTAATCATAAAGGTGAAATAACAGAGTCAAAGAATAACAGATAAAATCATTCTCTTGGGGAGTGGAGATGAAAACTATAATTCTCTTTTTTAATTTTGTTTACAGATATATTCATTTCTTTGAAGTTACAAATTGCATTTATTGTAACACATTTCTTCTGATGTTCCAGGAGGGGAGACATATCAGGTTATATGATGAAAATGGATAGCAGAACTAAAGAAAAAATATTCACATTACATACTGTTTAGAAAATCAGTTTGCAATGAGTTCATTATATACTATCAATTTCCAGTGTAAATGCTTCTGTTGGCTGACGATTCTTTTGTGAAATATTTTATTATTTGGACAGCTTAGTTATCAATATAGGTGACAATCATTGAGTATCTTTACAGTTTCTGTCTAGACTGAATTTAGACTGACATCCAAAGGTAGATGTCCAGTCAACCAGCCCTCAATATCCTCAATTGACCGACTGTGGCAGCCATCCAAGAAGGCTCCGCCAAATGTTGTCAATAATAATGAGTAATCCAGAAGACAAATTACAGTAGGTCAATCAGTAGCAACATAATAAGACAGTGTGTGAGATATCTGAATCTGTCACAAAGGTAGATTGAGAAAAGCAGTACTTGGCTACTAAGAAAGTTTGATTCCCTAAAACCACTTGGACAATTTTGATAATTAGGTAAAATAACAGGGGAGTGATTGCAAAAGTAGTTTGATAGCTCTAGGCATTTTTTTTCCAAGAGCAGCAATGGCAAAAGCAAGTTTGAAGTTCAAGATAGTAAAAGGAATGATGTGGAGAAGAATGAAGGAGAAAGAAAAGACCAATTAGATTAGTTAATATCACCAAAGAAATGAAAAAAAAAGACCTGTAGGGTGTAAAGTCTTTTTTCAAAAAATCTAGTACAAATTAAAAAAGGCATCAAGCAAAGCAAAATAAAACATAGGGAACAAAATAATTCGGGTAAAACAGGGCAACTAGAAAATTTAACAAGAAAAAGAAGTGAGCTTGCTGTGGAATGTTCACAAATTAGGAAACCAGATACAACAGAAGGTGAAGGTAAGTTACAGCAGTTTATTAATCAGAAAACTTACAATTATGGCCTAAGACTGCAAAGTACAAGAAGGTATAAGGATAGATAGCAGGAAGGAAATGTTTGAAGGTGATTGACTTCATGTTAAATGTGATATTCTTGGGCTCCTACTAGACTTCAAGAGTAAACCCCAGGACTTGGAGGAATTGGAGATCAATGTAGTTAAGGATATCATTGACATCACAGAGGGACAACAGCTGAAGAGAACCAAAGATACGTGGATACTGGATGGATCAAGGGGAACAGGGAAGGTTATTCAGGAGATTCAGAGAGATGGCAGACCAATTAAATATATATTTCATTCCATCTTCACAAATGAGAGTACAAGTAACATCTCAAAAATATTGGGAACACAGTGAGTGGGAATGACTGAAAAAAAAATCAGTTAGTAAGGAAATGGCATTGGGGAAATTGATGGAATTAAAGGTTGATAAATCTCTCGGATCCAATAACCCATACCTCAGAGTATTGAGGGAACTGGCCCCAGATATAGCGAATGCATTGGTGGTCATCTCTCAAGATTCTACAGAATTGAACAGTTACTATGGATTGGAGCATTGCTGATGTATCCCCACTATGTTAAAAAGGGGTAGAGAGAAAACAGGGCCTGACTCTGATAGTGTGGAAAATGCTAGAATCCATTATAAGTGATTTAATAGCAGAGCATTTGGAAAACAGTGGGAGGATTGGACAGTCTGCATGGATTTATGAAAGGGAAGTCACACTTGACAAATTTACTGGGATTTTTTGAAAATCTAACTAATAAGGATAATAAGGGGGAGCCAGTGGATGTAGTTTAGTTGGACTTTCAGAAAGCTTTGATAAAGTTTCACATAAAAGATTAGTACACAAACTTAAAGCCCATGGAACTGGAGACTAGTGTATTGACATCAATAGAGGACTAGTAAGCAAATAATAAACAAAGAGTAGGAATAAACAGGTCTTTTTACAAGTGGAAGACAGTGATTAGTGGGGTATGACATGGGTCAGTGCTGGGACCCAAACTATTCACAAAGATTTAGTTGAGGAAACGAAATGCAATATCTCCAAGTTTGGAAAGCTGGGTGAGAGGATAAGCTAGAAGAAAGATGCAGAGATGCTTCGGTTTGATTTGGACAGGTTGAGTGAGTGGGAAAATGCATAGTAGATCAAGTCTTATGTGGATAAAGATGAGGTTATCCACTTTGCCAGCAAATGGTGCTAGATTGGGAAAAGGGAGATGCAATAAGATCTGGGTGTCCTTGTACACCAGTCGCACAGAATAACCACATAGATGCAGATGTGCAGGCTAGGTGGATTGGCCATGCTAGATTGCCCGTGGCATTCAGGGATGTGTAGATTAGGTGGGTTATAGGAGGATGGATCTGGGTGGGATGCTCTGAGCGTCGGTGTGGACTTGTTGGGCCAAAGGGCCTGGTTCCACACTGTAGGGATTCTATGAACAAATGATATTTTGGCCTTCATAGCAAGAGGATTTGGGTCCAGGAGCAGGATGTCTTGCTGCAACTGTACAGGGACTTGGTGAAACCACACCTGAAGTGTTGTGCACAATTTTCATCCCTTTTCGTACGAAGAATTTTCCGGCTATGGAGAGATTGCAACAAAGCTTTGCCAGACTGATTCCTGGGATAGCGAGATTGATACATGAAGAGAGACTGGATCGGTTAGGACTATATTCACTAAAGTTTAGAAGCATGAGAGGAAACTTTATAGAAACGTACAAATGGTTGGAGAGTCCAGAACCATGGATCACAGTTTAAGGGTACAGGGAAGACCATTTAGGTCTCCAATGAGTAGAGATTTTCCTCACCCAGAGAGTGGTTAGCCTATGGAATTCTCTCTGCACTAAGTGGTTGAGGCCAAAGCATTGAATGTTTTCGGGAAGGAGTTAGATATAATTCTTAGAATTAAAGGGATCAAAGGGTACAGGGAGAAAGAAGAAACAGGGTACTGACGTGGATGATCAGTCATGATCATACTGAACGGTGCAGCAGGCTCAAAGGGCCTAACGGCCTACTGCTATTCCTATTTTTTATGTTTCAGGGTTTATGCAAGAAATAATAAAAGGTAGGAAAACATTGAATAGTCCCTATTCACTAATATCTGATGGGTACCCAAGACAAATTCACAAGTTCAAAAGGTTACACCTCAATTATTGTAACCATTAGACTGAATGGCACCCTCTTCAAAACCTGCTGAGCAATTAATGAATCATATAAAATATCAAAATACTATGAAGAGTGATGCAGTGCTTGATCCACAAATCTACACCTTTCCTCATTTTAACAGAGAATGAAGGCAAGGCTTTTCCTCCCAAGAGAAATATTGGAGGATCAATATGTCTCAGGTTATTCTCAGTCACCTTATTAATGATAGGATGGATATACATTGGAGCTCTTGCAGTGCAATGTCCCTACCTCTGAGCCAGGAGACCAGGTTCAAGTCTCACCTGCTTCAGAGATGTGTACTCAGCACTGAACAGGATGACTAGAAAATGTCTGAGATAAAGATCTAGCAGCAGGTAATGTGATTGACTTCTCAGTTCCAAATGGAATGGACTGCGAAGGCTCAGAAGGTTGAACTAATTATGCCAATGTGTCCAGATATAGTATCATACTCAGTTATGCTAAATTTCTCAAGGCCTACAAGCTGTAGTATTCACTCAAAATCAAGTCTAATATTTTGAAGTAATTGAGTTCTCAGCTTACTGAAGCGATGGATAAGGCAGAAATATTCCACCAGTTGTGCACATACTTTTTATTCAATTTCAAAATTAGAAAATTCCTTGCTTATTTTCATAGAGGGCAAATAATCAAAGTACCGAATATGATCCAATATACAGAAACAGAAATGTAAAGTACTTAAGAGCTAAAAAACAAAAGGAAATATGTAAAATTCATAAGAACATGAAGAAAAAACTGTTTATGTAAAGTAGCAGCTCATCTTACCTGGTATAAAAACCTTTGGTTGAAGTGCTGCATAGCTCCCTGAAGTTGATTTCTTTGTGACTGCCACTGCTCGAAGTTTCGAACAGACTCAGCTGTTGGCCGTTGCCACGTTGTTGTCCGTGTATTATGGTCCACGTAATAAAACCTACCACGTTGATCTACGCGTTTTTCCCAACTTTAGAAATGAAAAATTCAAAATTTAGAGTGAGTTTGGGGATCGAAAGTAAAAACAGAAAGTGCCGAAGAAACTTAGCTGGTCTGGCAGTATCTGTTCAGATAGAAACAGAATTCATGCTGAGTGGAGTGACTCTTCTTCAGAACATTGGACTTGAAATGTTAACTCTGTTTCTCTCTTCGTAGCAGCTGCTAGACCTGCTGAGGTTCCCCAGCAATTTCTGTTTGTTTTAATATCTGAATTCCAGCATCCACAGTATTTTGCTTTTATTGCAGACTTTTAATACTATACTGAATTAGCTAACTTATAACGTATGGCAGGAATTTGATCAATTCCAAAATGAAAAATGAAATGTATTAAATGTTTAATGTTGTTCTCAACTGAGAAACCTCATCAAAATGGCAAAACACAACTTCACCAAAGAAAATGATAATGCAAATCCAATACTAATACTGACGTCTTCATGTTGATTTTTAAAGGTCAGAAAATGGTAAGGGAAAGAACAAACTGAAGAGATAAAGAACATAATGTTGAAGATTGGGGAAAGCTCTATTCACAACAGTCATGTTAGCATCAATGAGAGAAACACAACAGTATTTGCAATGAAGATTGATTGCAATTCTGTATTGAACAAGATCACTCCATAAATATTTTTGGTTCCTGCCAAATAGTATAGGAAGTTTTAGAAAAGCTTTACTATTGGAACAGTATTGATGTCTTAAATCAGATTTGAGCACTGAGCATCTGTAGTGGAGGGAGTGGATGTTTGTGGGTGTGGTGCAAATCGAGCAGACTGCTTTGTCCTGGATGATATCAAGCTTCTTGAGAGTTGTGGGGGCTGCACTCATCCAGACAAGTGGGGAGTATTGTAACAAATCCCTGACTTGTGCTTGTACAGAGTGGACAGACTTTGAGGAGTCAGAAGGCGAGTTACTCGCCACAGTATTCCTAGTCTCTGGCCTGATCTTGGAGCCACTGTATTTATAGGGCGAGTCCAGTTTAGCTACTGGTCGATGAAAACCCCAGGATGTTGATAGTAGGGGATTCAGTGATGGTAACACCATTGAACATCAAGGGGCAGGGGTTGGATTGTCTCTTACTTGAAAAGGTCACTGCCTGGCATGAATTATAACTGCCACTTGTTAGTGCAAGCTTGAATATTGTCTAGATCACCACTCAGTAGCAGCACTGTGCACTATCTACAAGATGCATTGTGTAAATTCACCAAAGGCCCTTTCAAACACACAACCACATTTACATAGAAAGGCAAGGGCAGCAAATACATGGGAACGCTACCACCTGCAATTTCACTCAAAGTCATTCACCATCCTGACTCAGAAATATATCGCCATTCCTTCATTGTTGCTGGGTCAAGATCGTGGAATTCCCTCCCTAGGTCATGGTAGGTCTACCTACAGCACATGGACTGCAGCGGTTCAAGAATGTAGCTCACCACCACCTTCTCAAGGGTGACTAACGTAGGTAATAATGCTGACCGACCAGCAATGCCCATGTCCCACAAGTGAATGATTTGAACATGAACTGCTTCATCTTCTGAGGAGTCATGAATGGTGCTGAACATTGCGCAATCATCACTGAACTTCTGACCTTATGGTGGAGGAAAGCTCATTGATGAAGCAGCTGAAGATGGTTGGGCCTCGGAAACTATGCTGAGGACCTCTTGAAGAGATGTCCTGGAGCTGAGATGACTCTCCTCTAACAACCCACAACCATCTTCCTACATGCCAACAAAGAGTTTGCCCTCTTATTCCCATTGATTTCAATTTTGCTAGGGCTCCTTGATACCACACTTGGTTGAATGCAGCATTGGTGTCAAGGACTGTCACTCTCACCTCACCTCTGGAATTCAGTGCTTTTGTCCATGTCTGAGCTAAAGCTGTAATGATTTCAGGAACTGAGTGGGCCTGGCGGAACCCAAACTGGGCATCAGTGAGCAGGTGCTGCTTGATAGTACTATCGATGACACCTTTTATCACTTTACTGATGATCAACAGTAGACTGACGGGGTGGAAATTGGCCTGCCTTTTGTGTACAGGCAAATTTCCACATTGTAACAGTTTGGCTAAGGGAGCAGCAAATTCTGGAGTGCATCATCAGCTTATTGAAAGTTCGAAGAATAGAATCTCAGTTATAAGAATTAAATGAATATTCCTTGGAGCAGACCAAAAGCTATCTGCATGCATCAGTGTCTTCAGAAATCAAGCAAGATATAACCCTATGAGCCTGTGATGTCACAGATCTCAGAGTTTGATTAAGAGAACCGGACAGTTATATCTCATTTGTTTTTCTTTTGATTTATCTCTTAACTTTTTGTTTCTGTCTGTCTTTGTGCGAGTGGGGGTTAGAATCAAAACAGATTGGGTTTAAATCATGGGCATTAATTAGATTACCTGATTGTTTAACTTTGTTCTGTTAAGGTTATTATATTATTAATAAATTTTTAAAAAACTTTTGTTTAAGCTTTTAAACCTGATGTCTGGTATCAGTTATTTGCACAGTCTGGTAATGATTATTCAAAAAGTCTGCTTAGTAACCACTGGGGTCAATTTTGAGAGTCACTGAATTTTTTTTAGTTTTACTATGCTGCGAATACAGGGAGAGGGAGGTTGATTTGATTTGGTTCTCTGTCTTCATGTCGTAACATAATTAGTGTTGGGCCAGCTGGCTGCACCCACATGAATAAAAAGGATCTACGTAGTTATCAGGATGAATCCTTCATTCTCCACCAGTTTTGATAACCTTTCAGGGCATCATGTTTTGATCATGTGGTGGGCAACAGACATTTCATTGTGATTAACAGAGTGGCTCTGAAGAAGCATTTCTACGATACAACAACACCGATTGGATCTGTACTTACCCTGGTGGTAGAGGTCTCTCCCATGTAGTAGTTTTGGTATTGTGATCCACATAATACACTCTTCCATTAGGAAGCATTCGCTGTTCCCATCTGAAAAATAAGCCATAGGTCCAATTAAGACTTCAGTATTAAATTACTTTTGATATTTCAATAAAAACATACACCACCTAATAACGTTAAAATTTTGGGTATTCACTGAAAGACTGAGCTCCAGCAGTTCCTGAATGTACACTAAGCATCAGGCATTCCAAGATTACTTAAGATGTTTGCATTATCTACTTGCGCTAAAATATGCTCACTTTTATTATTCCTCATTTTGAAGATTTCTGACTATCTCAGTAGTATTTGTTTCTCAATGTCCCAAATCACAATTAATTTGCTTTATTACTATAAATTATAATCTTGGGTCCAAAATAATCTCTCACCAGCACTTTAGATTGCTGTTAAATAAAATTATAAACTTTCATGTTGAAACACTGCTGAGAAAAGCATTAATATCAATTGTATTTTTTAAGAAGTCTATAAAATCTAAATCAACTGCTTGTTCTTCCCCTAAAAAACAAGTCAGTTTGAATTATAACAAATGATTTTGACTTCCCAGATTAATGCTTGGACTTTGTGATGCTAACAGTTTGCTGACTGGCACATTATTAACTAATTTAAACGAAGAGAGAGTGATAGAGAGAGAAAAATAGAGGGAGGGGAGGGGTCCAGGACCTGAAGAAACAGTCTCAAAATAAGGGACAAGCTATTTAGGACTGAGGTGAAAACAAATTAATTTACTCGAATCAGAATTCTGCATCCTGGAAAGTTGTGGAAGCTCAATCACTGAATATGTTCATGACAGAGGCAATAACTTTCTAGACATCAAAGGATAGGGTAATATTGCAGGAAAATTATGTTGAGGTAGATAATCCAGAATGGCAAGGCAGGCTTGAAAGACGAATGGCCTATTTGTGCTCCTATGTTTCACTTTCATTCATGTCCCTTCATTTTCTGAACCAGTGTTCCCAAGACACAACTTCCTAAAGTGGACCCAAATTCAGTGGACATAAATGTTCAACAAGCTCCAAAGTGAACTTGGTTGATTAGAAATCACCAGATTGTAATACTGCCAAATTAGGAAACGGCTACAACTCCTTTCAAACTGCTTGATTGACAAAACAAAAACAAGATTTACTGTAAGAGAGTGAAATTACCATTTCTCTAACTATCTCTCAATTTTAAAACAATTTCTGGACTATAATGGGTTAGTGCAGATAAGTACCTGTCATGACCAGACCCTGTGTGAGGTTCTCCATTTGCACCTATTCCAGACAAGCTTCCCCATATCGTTCAGGTCCCAGATGAGGAGGGTGAACTGGCTCCCTTTCTTTACTCACCTGCCCATGTTAATTCCAAGAAGATTCATTTTAGAAGCATCCCTTCCTTTGTAGATACCTTTCTCCCAGACTAAATGAATTCATGTTTCAAAAAGGAGCCAATTTAACCAGGCTTTGAATTATCAAAGCAGTGAGGGTTATTAGTTACCTAATTGTGAGAATAATTAATAACACAACTAACATACACACGAATTACAAATAAGTGAACCCAATCCATTCTCAATGATTGAGCTTCCACAGTTCTTGAGAGTAGAGAATTCCAAAGATTCACCACCCGTTCAGTGAAGAGGCACCTCCTCAGCTCAGTCTTAAATCATTGCGCTCTTATCCCCAGATTATGTTGCCTGGTTTGAGAATCACCAGATAGGGGAAACAACCTCTCTACATCCATCCTGAGATGGTCTGTAAGAATTTTACAAGTTTCAATGAGATTACATCTTATTCTTCAAAACTCTGGGAAATACTGATCCAGTTTCCTCAATCTCTCCATATAAAAAAAATCCCACCAACTCAGGAATTAATCTAGCGAACCCCTGGTAAACTGCCTATATGCCAAATATATCCTCCGTTTGATGAGAACAAAACTATACACAATACTCCATTTGCAGCCTCACCAAGTTTCTAACTGACTACCAGGAAACTATACTCCTGCACCCCTTGAAATGAGTGTCAACATCCTGTGTGTCCTTCTAATTCCTTGCTGCAGCTGCATGCTAGCTTGTAATGACACCTGGACAAGGACACCCAGATCAACATGGACACATGCACTTGCCAAACTCTTACTATTTAAGAATTATTCTGCCTTTCTGTTTTTTTCTATCAAAGTGAATATCTTCACACTTATTTATATTTCATCTGCTATGTCATCCAAGTCCTCTTGAAGCCTCCCTATATTATCCTGACAACTTAAGTTCTAACCTTATCATCAGCAAATATATACAACATGAATATAGTAGCACTAAGTTCAGAATTCTAAGCAAAGGTAACTAAAACTAATTTCAAATCATGAATTAGAAAGCATACAAGCTTTTAATATCTGTGGGCCACGTGGTGAAGATCATGGAGCACTGCAGATCAGATACAAAAAAATTAAACTGAACCTGAATTTATAAGGTACCTTACATAAACTTAGAAACATCCAAAATGCTTCACAGTTAATGAATAAAGGAAAATTTCTATCACTCTCCCATTAATTTATGCATATCAAGGACATGCATATCAAGGACTGGGTACCAACAGACTCAGTTTTTCTAATAATGTTTAGGATTAATTTAGAACTGAGACAACTGCTGCACACTAAGGAACTCATCCCCACTTTGATGAATTTTAGCCAGGACCACTAAGATATCGATGCACATGTAGAACCAAAATACCAGATGTTAAGGACTAATTGCTTGAAATCAAGAACCAGAAATGACATGAGCTGTAGCTTGCATTAAACGTATGAATGCTGTTCACAAAAGGGACTATTTTTCATTGAACCTTTTTCACAAGGAGTTCTCTTATTCAAAGCTCTTCTGGTCTAAACATCATTCTCAGCTACATTATAAATATAGTCTCAATGTGGCTTTACAAACACGTGTCAAACTATGCATATGGGCATATTAAAAAGAAACCTCACATTTTTACTAAACCTTTCACAACCTCAAGACATTCCAAAATGCTTTGGAGTCAATGAAGTACTCTTGAAGTACAGTTATCATTTGAATGTAGGAGACATGGAAGCCATTTTAGTCACAGCAAATTTTCACAAAAAGCAATATGTTGATGTATAGATTATATTATAAAATGATTATTATTATTATTATAGTACTGTTGATTGACAGGTAAATATTAGCCAGGACATTAGGAATAATCCAAGTTCCTTTTCAAAATAGTGTCATGGCGTCCTGGACATAATTTTAATGTTTCATTCAGAAGAAGGTACCTTAGTATTACACTGGATTGCCAACAAATAATTTTGCGCTCAAGTCTATACAGATGGATTTTAATACACAAATTGTGGATTCAGAGATGAAAGTACAACAGCTCTGCCATAGTGGACAGACAAAAAATACCAAAAGCATAGTTTGATTTATAAGGAAAGGCCCACAGTGAAGCACAGGCAAAAATTCCATTTGTAATGATGTCTCAGTGACTTTGAAGGGTCTTATTTAGTTTAAGTTGCCACCGCCAAAGTTGGGCTGTTTCTGGCAATGGATTCATGAAAAAAATTCATTTTAAATGTTTATTAAAACTACAGATCGAGGTATGCAAGCTCATCCTTGAAGACTCCAAAAATCCTTCTAAAATACCAGCACAGCATCGACTTGCACACCAAATGTACAATGTGAACCATTAACGAGGGTTGTTGCTGTTTGAAAAACAAAGGGAAATCACACCAGTATTTCACATTACGGTGCCACAGCTTATTAAATGAATTAATTGCACAATGATATCTTCAATAACAATCAAAGCATTTTAAATTGTCAGATTCATTGTTTCTGGATCCGACAAAGTCCTTCAAGTTCATTCCAACTCATTTTGGCAGCATCACAAGGATCCAACTCTGGATCACATATAGCATTTGCACTTTCAGATTCATCTCTCCACAGAAAATCATCTTCCTCTCCAGCCACTGTATATTCTGCATTTTTTGAATAATATAATGGCACTCTATGCACTAATGAACTGATAATGAAATCACTTCTTTCTTCCACTCTTGCACCAGTTTTTCACAAACACTCAATTCTCTTGTTGCAGCTCAGTAATTTGACTAGTTTGCAAATGTTACAACTTTCACCTTGAAACCAGCACTGTGCTTCGGTCTTTTCCTGGAGAATCCATTTTTGTTCATCACTCACCACACCACGTTTGCTGTGTGTGAGCATGTCTTAAACTCCCATGCATCTTCTTCGCAACACAGCCTGTATCATCTGCTTGGTCCCATGTGCTGACTTACAGTACAAGCTAAATAAAACATGGATTGCTAGGGCAAAAAATAAGGACAACCAAGTACAGATTTCATAGCTGAAAAAGGAATAGTCTTATAATCTGGATATACGCAAAAATACGGCTTTTGGAACTAAGATAAAAATGATTATCTTATCTCATGGGGTTGACTTATAAACCTTGATCAGTGGAAGAAGTAAACTTCAAAGCTTAGTACAAAGTCACCTGAAGGTATGGCCACCAATGATGAGTAAGAAAGTGAAGGGCTGCAGAATTCCACAACAGAGACAGGAGTTACTCTCCTTGACATCAAGGCCAGATTTTACAAAGTGTTGCATCAAGGAGCCCAAGCAAAATTATAGTCAATGGGACCGAAGGGGAAAACTCTCTGCTGGTTACAGTCATACTGAGCACAGATGAAGAAGATTGTGGTTGTTGTAGATCAGCTATCTCAACTCCATGATATCTCTGCAGGAGTACCTCAGGGTAATGTCCTAGCTCCAACCATCTTTAGATGCTTCATCAATGACATTCCCACTATCATAAGGTCAGAACTGAAGAAATTCACTAATGACTGCACAATTTTCAGCACCATTTGTAACACTTCAGGTACTGAAGCAGTCCATGCCCAAATTCATCCAGACCTGGACACTATTCAGGCTTGGGGTGACAAGTGGCAAGCAACATTCATGGCACACAAGTACCAGGTAATGACCATGGCCAACAACGGAAAAATCCAAACATCACTCCTGACATTATCATCACTGAATCCCAGAC